TGAACAAAGAAGGCTTAATAATGCAAGTTAGTGCATTCTGAAGATAAGTGAATTAATTTTTAATTCGACGTCATTTCCTTGCAAATAGCCGTTGCGGCAGACACGCCAGAATTGTGTCGTACGCTGCCGGGGGTCGACTGAATGAAATCGTAACGAAGTCCGAGTGTGTCGTGTTGACAGCTGATAGCCCTATAACAGCGCTAACGACTGCACTCAGCCATTCTCTTCGCTACAATTGTAAGCATTTCTTCCGGGCCGCCACACTATCGTCATCACTCTACGGGCAGACCTGCTGCATTTGGCTATACGTCATCAATGTTTGATGATAGCAAGACATGTCATGTCGGCTGCTGAGGAATTTACCTCGCCGGCCGATAGCGCCCCCACAATGTCGTCGTGTGCACATGGTTGCACCCTCCGTGCACGAGAAAAATAACTTGAATGGGACATATCATCCTTCCAAAGGGCGGCTTAGGTCGGCTAGCCAGCATTGATTAGCGTGCTGGCGGTGAGCTGATCCAATAAAATATACTCCCCAATCGGAGACATGTGTTGTGCTGGCAGATGATAGCCCTATGCCAGCACTGTCGAATGAACACAATCGTACTTTTTGCGCGATCATAAGTACGCTTCCCAGGACACCGTATTGTGGCCAACAGGATGCGTACAGGCCGGTCGCAGACAGAAATGAGTCGTCAAGGGGTTGTATGAACAAAAAAGGTCACGTTGGCCGACGAGCGACTTGTATTTCTGGTCGAGAATGCTCTCACAACTGCACATCGTGTGCGCATAGTTATAACCTCCGCGAAGTAATATATTTATTCCTAAGTGGACGTCATACCTGTATAAATCGCCGTATTTGCCAACACGCGAGTAACACGCCAGTAATTATTTTTCCCAGACGCCGTATTCTGGTCATCAATCTTCAGGCAGACCGACCGCAGTTAATAATGCACCGTCGAAGGGTCACGCGAACAAAAAAAACCAACAACAACAACATGTCGATCGAAGAACAAGTTACATTGCCAAACGATAGTGCTTTATGCTTTCATCGTGTGCACATGGCTGCGCCCTCCTCACAAGAGTAAACGTATTTTAATTTGGACATGGTATCTTTGCAAATCGCCGCAGCGCCGGACCGCGAGCATTGAGTGATATGCTGTGGGGGGTTGACCGAACAAAATAGATCCTCTAATCGGAGAAATGTGTTTTCTGCCAAGTGATGGCTATGTACCACACCTATCGAATGCACACAGTTCGACTATATGCATGCTATCATAAACATTTTCGAGGTCCGCCATATTTTCGCCATCACGCCACCGGCAGGCCGGCCGTAATTGGCTATCCACCATCATGGTCTTAGCTGAAACAATAAAGTCATGTCGGCCGATGACCAAGTTACATTACATACCCATTGTACTCCCACAATGAAATCGTGTGCGCATGGTTGCAGACTTCGTATCCTGGTAAACGAATTTTGAAGTGGATGCGGTGTCTCGGGAGACCTACGTTACGGCCGGCCAGCAGATACTGAGTGGTGCGCTGCCCGGGAGTCGAAACCAACATTCGACCTGTGAATTGCGGTGGTAGCTGATAGTTCTACACTAGCCTTATTGAATGCGTAAATTTGCGCTTTTGACTGCCTTTGTGAGTTGTTTGCCCGGGCCGCCGTATTTTGGCCATCACGGTACGGACAGGCTGGCCGAAGATAGCAACGAGTCGCCCGGGGTGATGTCAGGACAAAAAGCATGTCGGGTGATGAGCACTGCGTTCCTGGTCCATAGTACTCCCGCAATGGCTTCGTATGCTCAGGGTTGCGCAACTCTCGCCTGATTATTTTTTTTTTAGATTTGACATGGTATCGTTACAACTCGCCAATAAAACAGCCCGCAAACTTCGAGTGATACGCTGTCGGTGGGTCAACTCAATAAAATAGATTTCCCTGTCGGAGGCTTGTGTTTTACTGGCATGTGCTAGCCCTGAACCAGCGCGATCAATGCAAACAGTCCCACTATTCGCGCGAGATTATAAGTTTTTACCGGTTGTCGTATTCTGAAGATCAGCGTACAGACAGGCCTATCGCACATAGCTATGTGCAGTCATTGTGTTATTTGAGCAAAAAAGGCAATGTCGGCCCATGTGCGATTTATCTTGCCGGCCGGTAGTGTTCCCACAATGTCATCCCTTGCGCATGAATGCACCCTCCGCCCACAAGTAAAAGTAGTTTAAATTAGTAATGGTATGCACAGTTGTAACACGCCTCTACGATCGACTCGCTAACATTGGCTGATTTTCTTCGGGGGTCGACCGAATATAAAGGATGTCCTCATCGCGAGCGTGTGTATCACTGGTAGATGGTAGCCTTATAGCAGTACTATAGCATGCACTCAGTGGCACTCTCCGGAAGCGACTAGAAGCATTTTTCTCGAGGAGTCGTAATTTGTTCATCACGCAATGAGCAGGCCAGCAGCAGTTAGCAATGCACTGTCAAGTGATAATGTGAACAGAAAAGGTCATGTTGGCCGATGAGCAATTGACACTGCCGGCCGATAGCGCTCCCATTTCCCATCATGCGTGCAAGGTGTTAACTCCGCGCATCAGATAAAATATTTCATCTTGGGCATCGTGCCCTGGCAAACCGCCACTGTGGCCTGCCAGCCAGCATGGACCAAAATTGAGCAATAGCCATTCGGGGGGTCTGACGACTGAAATAGAAACCAAATGAGTGTGTTGTACTGGCAGCTGATAGCCCTATGCCAGTACTATCGGATTCACACAGTTGCACTTTTCGGGTGCGATCATGCTAATTTGTTTCGCGGGTCGCTGTAATTTGGCCATTACTCCGCGGGTAGGTCGGCCGCAGGTAAGAATGTAAGAAAGAAAGGTGATGCGTGCAAAATAGTTGATGTCGGCGAGTCTGTTGACCATTTCTTTGACATTCGAGAGCTCTTTCTTTTTAAACAGAAATTTAATTCATTCCCAAGTATATAGATTGATGCTGTCTTGAGTTATAATCCTTCATCATTTTCAACAACCACTAATGGCAAGAGATGACCTGAGTGCTCTGGATATGACACGCTGACAATGACAGCCAAAAGCGCGGTCAGGGCTTACGAAGACATCGTGGCCTCAGAAACAAACGGCTTGGAATTCTCGACGCTGGAGCTGCTGCAGCAACAAACATCCGTTTTAAGAGCAGCACTGCATCAGTATCAGACGCGTGAGTTGCAGGCAGACTCCGCTATGGAGCAACCTTTACCATTCGACAAGATCTGTTACATCCCCCCCCCCCCCCCCCAATAGCTACAAAGACGGCGCTGGATGCCTTCAATGGCTGTCACCAGGAGGTGCTGGACAAGGGGAGTCAGACACTGACCACATGCATCGCGGAATATTAATAAAAAAGTATGACCGATATCAGTGCCAGCGCTTACGAACGTAACAAAGTCATTGCTCAGCTGGTGACGTATAACAAAACAGTGCGATGACAACATTGTTGCTGAGTGGACCGGAAATGCAAATGTATTCACGATACGCTGCTGTTCGACTCCAATACCGAGCAGGCCTCCTCCCGCATATTCCAACACCTACGCCTGTGTGGCACCAACTGGGTCACCATGAACCCAACTAAGTTCAGCTTTGCCGCCGGGAGGTCGAGTTTGTGGGATGCCATCTCGGCTGGTTGGAGCACATCCCACCAGCGGCAAGATGTCGACCATCAGCGATTCGGCTAGGTTCCCATGCCTGAACAGCCTTAAATTGCCGACGTCAGGATAGGTGCTTACTGATGAGCCAGCTCGCACCGTTCTTGCCGGTGCCATCCCTCGTGCATCCCTTCCGGAATCTGCTTAAAGGGGTGTTTCACATTTTAAGATATTGAAGTAAGCATCAGATATGATGAAACAAGCTCACTTATAACTATTAGTATACTTTTAAGTGGAACAGACTGCTCTGGACACCACAATTTCTTTGTCTAGTAAACATGCTCCTGGATGCGTCATGGTTTGATTACGTCGTCATTGTACCTTGCACAGCATTAATTGAGAGCCAATTGACGGCCGCTATATCTGGAAATCGCGCTCACAAACGCCAGATATGAATGCCTCGATCATTATATTTTTTCATGGCCTTGATCACCGTATAGGTTATGGAATGCCAGGATTTCAATGACTTTTTATCACGTCATGAATGACAAGGTGTCTTTGAAATACTATCCCCGAAAGATCCCCCCCCCATTTTTGCGGGCGTGTAGCTAAGAGATCAAAGGGGTTTTGGATTTAAGAAGGGCAGGGCCGTAAACTGCACCGAAGGTCTTCAAG